ATGGCTCTCCCACACATGTATGAGTAATCTAGTCGTGATTATTATAGATAGGTGTGAGAGACAGTGAGATAGGTCAGTTTCTTTAACGATTTAGCAATATTATGCGAATTGTTGAACCTAATAAATAGCTAATACAAAGTTTGAAGAATTTCGTTCCGTCAAAATGTTGTCAATTTTAAATTATACATATTCATTACTATTTTCAACCCTAGGACCAGGGTAAAACTTAGCCTACACGTTACACTAAAATCTATCTCTATGCTATTTTTCATTCAGATACGTTCAGTAGTTTTTGAGTGAAAAAGTAACAAACATCAACACTTACAAATTTTAGGGATTTGGCGATTTAGGAATTGAGGGAGGGGGGAAGCATTGGGCCTCCGGTAACTCACTCAGACGGCGAAACACAACGCTGTGGTTGTTTCAGCAGCAGTTGTAGTATTTTACTAAATTAAAAATATACGGTCATTAGTATTATAGAAATAAAATTGAATGAAACCACGCAATGGTCATTGTCAAATTGCTGTAAAGACAATTTTTGTGTTTTTATTCAACTGTAAGCCGGCATTCCATGCGTAAGCACATTAATACAACGGAGTTGGTTTAAATCGATACATTTATAGATTATAATATATACAAATATTATCGATATCTGCAAATTTCCTTATCCGCGGATACGTTTAAAAATCTTTATTGCACAATTTTCCGTGGTTGTTATTTAATCGCGAAACAAAACAATTCGATTTATTATTATGTATTGTGATCGATACCTAGAAATGGTTTAGTTGGTAAAAGGCATTAAGGGCTAATTTTTCAATGGTTAGATAAAACTTAGTTGGGGAATAATTTATTATGATGTTGTCGCATCAGAATGTTTTTTATGGTATAAGTCGGCAAACGAGCAGACAGCAGACGGATTACCTGATGGTAAGCAATCGGCGCCGTCCATGGACACCCGCAACACGTTACCGGCCTTTTAGGGGTTGCGGATAAAAGAATTAGGAAGGGATAGGGGAAGGGGAGGGATTGGGTCTCCGGTAACTTCACTCACACGGCGAAACACAACGCTGGGTTGTTTCACGCCGGTATTCTGTGAGGCCGTGGTATCACTCCGGTCGAGCCGGCCCACTCGTGTCGAACCATGGCTCTCCCACACTTATGTTTGTATAAGATAGTGACAGCAACAATTTTATTCCTCAGATAACATTTATCTGAGGAGTAAAATGGACTATTGAAAAATCACCCCTAAGTAAAATTTTTTCATAATTTACGAGATCATTAATAAAAGAAAATTGCGTTTGAAATATGAGTGTCTGTCAGCCATGCATGATAAAGGACATTTTGTAAAGATAAACAAAACTAAAATATTGATCGAATTGAACTCAAATTGATTTGGCATTTTTTATCGATTTACGTGTTTATTTTTTTTTATGGAAAACGATCTGACCGATAACTGATGCGCCTTTACCACGTGTAGGTTAAAATATACGTTGTTGGTAATTATAGGTTTATTAACTAAAGATACTGCGCCACAAGCGGTGACTGGCAGAGCCCCTATTGACCTTAGAGGTCGTAATACAGTCGTTAGTTAACCCAATAGTATGAATTGTAGATATTATGTAGGAAATAACAGTAGATTGATTCATCGTTAGTTCATCATTAGGTAAGTAATATTGAAAGTTCAAAGTATTTAGAAAAATATTTAGGGTAACCTACTAGCTGACTCTTTGTTAGCTGGTTTGCAAGTATTGCGGTTTTTAAGCTACAAAAGGGCGAAAAAATATATATGTTATGTACATAGTTATAACAAATAAACCAACAACAAGACTGCACAGATTGCGCGGTGGCGCAGTGGCTGGGCTAGCTGCTGTGTTACGTGTCGCGGGTTCATGTCCCGCACGGAACAACGCTTTGTGTGATTCACAAATTGTTGTTCCGGATCTGGGTGGCATGTTTATGTGAATTTGTATGTTTTTAAATGCACCCACGACACAGGAAAATACTAATGTCGGGTAACGTTTAAAAAAAAACAACTTAAACAGGGCCTTTAGAGATACTACAGGTTGACATTTCAATACATGATAGAAAAGAAATGGCGAATCTGTCAAAAACTAATTTGGCGCCAAATCTCAAATCCATAGACGAAAGGTGCATAATTTATTTAGAATCTGGAATAGTCTCGAATGTCATCAGTCAGTGCGGCCGTGTGACATCGAGGCCGAACTAACGAGGGCGCTCTGATAGCAATGCATGCCATGGAAAGTTTACAATGAAAAATAGACAAAATGATACATAGATTTAGAGATTAATTTTGTTTGTTTTCATTGCGCTATTTGGAAGGCTCTGGAAGACAAATTAAACTTAAGGAATTGATGATTGATCAATGATTTATTTGTATGCAGATGGTACTTAATATCATTAAGGACATAATATATGTAGGTATGTAGTTGTACTTTGAGTACGTGTAACTGTGGGGTTCATGCAGTAAGACGCGACGTTCGCTTTTTAAACTTAATTTGCGAAACATATTAGGTACCTTAATTTTTGAGGAAGATTCGATATTAAACATACTTTTTGCAGTAAACAGGTGAGTTTTCTTTGACTAAATAATATTCAACTAGGCCCTTCGTAAAAAAAAATACAAGCGAATCCGCGATTGTGAACCCAATTCTAGAACTAGAACTAGTTCATACATCTGAAAATTATCTTAACAATATTTTTTCGAGTCACAATAAATCGCATGTTAACGTAAAATGTTTGCCATAGACAATATCCCAGTAAGTCAAACTGATAGTCAAATATTCCCCCAAACCCACAGATTATTATCAGAAATATTTGTCAATAAAGCGAAAGGTTTATGAAGCCTGTCAGGCTAACATGAATCCTCTTGGAATAAAATGGCTGCCCTTGGAAATAAGGTATTTATAATTATAGGTAAACTGATTTATTTGAAAATGATAAATGAAATGAAAAAAAAGATGAGTTGTTATAGTTTGTTAACATTACTTAATTTTTATTTCTTCAATTGCTATTTCCCATGCAGTATTATGTCTGCCCAACAATAACCAGGTACTTTAAGAAATTACTGGTCTAGTATTGTGTTAATGTTGTATATATTTAATGTTTTGAGAACTATAACATAAAGTAGGACAATGTATTATTATTGAATTGCGCTAAAGTTTACAGTATCATGTGTTGACACATGTCTTCTACATTGTAATTGAAAATTGTCCATTCTTTCATTTAGTACACAATCAATTGATTTGAATAGGTCATAATCATAACAATACTGAGAGTTCAATAAATTATTACCTTTTCTTCCATGTTTAAAAAGTGACCAGTTGGAATGTGAAAACAAAAACACTGTGTCTATGATATTTTTTAAATTTAGAACTGTAATAATATTGTCTAAATCAAGTAAAGGTCTGTACAAGAAGGTGGTAGTTAAACCTATGGCTGTCAAATTTCTTTAATGTATGATTTTAAAAATTATAATGCAATTATGCAGAATAGGGTTGATTTTTTAATTATTTATCTGTTAAACATGTTTTTTTTTAATCTTTATTTTATTAAAAGGGCTCTGTTAAACATGTTGTTGCATAACATCTGCATGGTGGTAAAATAAAATCAATGTAAGAATCAGGTCACTGTTACTTGGTGCAGAGTTCATATTTATGTTCACAGCTGTTTGGAATACCATTGGCTATGTTAATGAAAGCAGGTACTATGGAGTGAGTATAATACTTTATATCCAACAATCAATCAGAATGTCTTTGGAATTAATGAGTTACTTACATTTCTATGAATAAATATTTTTAAATAGTTCAACTACCTATGGTAAGAAACTTTTTTATATAATACTTAGGTATAATAAAACTACTTACCTCTACAACAACTCATACAAATTCAGATAATAATGTTTTTGTAACTAAAGTCAATACATGAGCCACTTAGATCTTTAAGGTAAGTAGGTAATATTCTTGGGTTAAGAAACCATAAGGGTTGATGGCTCAAATACTAGTAAACCAAAGAGGTTTACAGGAACTAGGCTGCATACTACAAATACTGGCCAGACACACTCGTTACGGGTAGAGGCACGATATGTTCAGAAAAATGGGGACGTTTGCCGGCTGCTCGTCGGCGGACAAATCATAACATAAGTGACGATACTTGTTTTCTGTACTACCAACATTCGATCGCATTACACAAAACACCTCCGCTCTGCACTCTGGTATTCGAATTAAATGCCAACTTGCACTTACAGATCGATAAAACATCATACCACGAACGTAAATAAATCATATGGACCTCACTTGCTCATATTGATTTAGCCTGCATGTGGGTTTAAGTTAATCGATTTCTGTAATTTATACCCATATAAAAAGCGTAAATATTAGTCTTTGATAACAATCTGCACTTAAATACCTCTAAATTATACAGAAATATAGTTTAACTTACCAAAGTATGCGGAGCTGCAATGATGTCTACACACTAATGCACTGAATTATTTATATTGCACTCTAATTAAACAGCTTACGTAAGTTATTCTAATGAAGATCAATAAATTTGCCACTAAGAGGTTAATGAACTACAATAGTAAACTGATTAATCTACGGAAATTGCAAGAAAATCTATAATAATGTGCAATAACCTTCCGCAAAGTGTTTTTAGTTTCGCGATGAATTTTCTACAGAAATAAACATAGTCCACTGTATTCCGCCAGATGGCACTACCTACCTGCAGGTGTTCTTTTGACATTTCAGTTTGTATGGCTGCGTTCAAACCATACATTACATAATTTCATTAAAAAGTTCTAGATAAATAATTGGGTTTAAAAGCTGAAAACTATATAAGATTCAAACTGGGCAGATAGAATTTAAAAAAATGCATACAAGTTTCAAACTATTCTCGTTAAATATGATTTTGATTAATGATGTTACGTATCAGAAAACTACGAAGAAAAAAGACAACTAAGCATTACAGTGACAGTGACATTTATTTAATCAGCTGAAATTTGCGCGCGTTATCGGTTGAAATAAAAATATTGTTGAAAAATTTTAAGTGGTTTTGTATTGCAACATGGTACCAAGTGCTAGGACAGCGCGTTTAGTGAGGGAAGTCAAGAACTTTGAAACAAAACCTCCATGGGGAATAGTTTGTCATCCAAGAGAGGAAGATATATATGATGTGTTAAACTTCACGTTACAAGGCCCTAAAGGATCGCCGTATGAGAATGGATCATTTAAACTGACTGTTACTATCCCACAAAAATATCCATTCGAACCCCCACTGGTTAAATTCATAACGCCAGTTTATCATCCGAACATTGATAAAGGTATTTATATGTAAATATTTTAAAGTTGAAAACTAGCGCCTTTATAGTTATCTTAAATATTATGTAAAAGCAATGATTGAATGTTGTTACAATCGTTTATTAAGTATGATCAGCCATACCAATCAAAGCGCATTCATACCGCTGCCTGTAGCAGGAGAAAGAATGTGGTTGTTTTTTTAGTCAGTAAGAGTATGACAGAGTGTATTTTTGTCTCTCGCCCCATTCACGACAAGAGAAGTAATTTTATAACCTTCCCTGGTAAAACGAATAATAAAAAAAGAATATCTTAATCTTACGAGCACCCTCATACACATTATTAAAATTTACTGCCTTGCAGGTGGCAGAATCTGCATGGATATGTTGAAAATGCCTCCCAAAGGAGCCTGGCTGCCTACCATCACACTTGAGACCCTACTGGTGTCGCTGCAAACTTTACTAGCCAACCCCAACCCGGATGACCCTCTAATGATGGATGTTGCCAATGAGTATAAATATAACATTGACAAATTTATAGATAATGCTAAAAAACACACAGAAAAATATGCTAAAGGCTAATTATTTAATACAACTTAAATAACATCAAGTAATAAAATTGATTGTTGTGAACTCTAGAATTTATCTAAATGTTTGTTTAATGTATTTTGCGTAACAAGAAAATTGTGAGTACAGTTTAAGAATTTTTTATTGGTCCTCTTACCATTAGCGAAGCTAAGGTAAAAATTTATTATAAAAATATTTTTGTGTACCCAAAATGTGAAAAAAATATCTAATTTATTAGACATTGGTTTACATTCCTGAAACACTTGTTTATTATTTGAAGATGTCTGTATGTGTAAACCCCAAATTTTAAAATTTCTCGCTTTTACCTAATCAAATTTATAAATTCTGCTAAGCCGATAAGGCTATCTTGTTTCGTTTTTTCTTCTTTCTACTTTCTTTGTGATACAAAATATAGTATTTAACCATTACATCATGTAAATAAGAGACTGGTATTTTTAATAAACATTTCTTTAATAACTTATTGTTTTATTTACATTTATTATCATTATATTGCAGTACATATGATATTTTATACATAATAATGAGAAATTAAGAGTCTATGGCTCGATGTCAATATGAAATGTCAAATTTTTTCTCTGCAAAATTTATAAAATTATAATAAATACAAATATATATAATACCAATAATAAACTAAATAAAAAAAAAACCCTGTGTGGCAAAAACAACAACACAAACAGACAAAATGAAGAAAATTCCGTACAATAAGACAAAGAGAAAAAAGGTAATGACATAACTACATAAGAACTCGGAAGAAACAATCATGTTGACGAGAGCCGCAGCACGTCGTGCACGCCCACCACCTCCGGCCTCGTCGCTCAGCTCCGCCTCGCCGCCGCCGGAATCCAGCCCCACCGTGAGTGATGTGACACCGGCCGTGGCAGCTGCGTCGAGCTCCAGCGACGAGTATTACTCACCGCCGACGACACCACCACCTACGCGTCGCCGGGGAGGACGCCGGCCGCCGGCCCGCTTAGGACCTCGAGGCCCACCGGCTTCTGATAGGGTCCCAGCCGCCGGCGGAAGTGTGCAGCGCATGCGATGGACACAAGCAATAAATGAAAACGTCATGCGCGCATACTATGGGGCTACAGAGGGAGGAAACAACCTGACCGCGTACCGTGTTCGGATGCTCTCTCTGTTTCAGGTGCTTGAGCCAGCCGTCAACGTATCAGCTCAACGACTTTCGGATCAGGTGCGGGTCATCCAGCGTAACCGTATGCTGGACGATACTGTGCTTGATCGCCTTCAAACGGAAATGGGTAGCCGTGCCAGTGCCTCCTCGTCGCGGACTGTGGTGCCAGCGACTTTGCCACTGACCAGCCACGGTATTGTTAGTACCGTCGCTGATGAGGAAAGTACTGATACGGTTGCACACGTAAGTACCCAGTGCATTGATGAATTGAGGAGTGCTTTGGAATGTGCGATTCGGGAATATCGCTACATATCACCCGAACTCAGACCACGCTTGCCTCGTTTGCCCATGCATAACAAGAATAGAGCGCTGGTGGCTGCACTGGATTCGCAGTTATCTAATTATTTAGATGACTGCGAAGACCTCGGTGATAAAAAGAATCTGCTGCTGTAATTTTCTGAATCGAGCTGTTTGTAAAAGGAATCTGTATGTGAAACTGATTTAAAAAGAGTAACCATGGAGTTTCTTGCTCGTTCTTCTCCATCGGAATCTACACTTTGGAACGAGCGAATAGCTTCACTAAAAGGACTGACCGACAGACTGACACTTTGTATCTTTAAAGTTGTGTTGACGTTCAAAAGTGCCTGTATGGGTCTAATTGAAATAAATAATTTTGACTTTGACTTTGACTTTGATACACACTCGATAATGTACTGCGCGGCCGTAGCGGCATGTCGTGTGGCTCACGTCAAATTCCCTACTAATGACGTAACCACACGGCCGAAACCAGCTGTACCGGCCTGGCAGCGCAGGATTGAGTGTCGTATTGCTGGGGCCAGAGCACTCATCGGCAAATTAATCTGCTTCAGGGAAGGCAATACCCGCCCCAAAGTGATGCGCTTTGTGAGACGGGCATTTTCGGGGACAGATATCAGCCCCCGAGACTATATGTCCCGCGTCACAGAGCGCATCGACTTTCTGAAGCAGAAGGTATATGCATGGGCAAACCGTATTCGGAGGTACAGGCGACGGGTGGAACGATATACCCAGAATCGCACATTCCGGAGTAATGAAAGGTGGGTGTATAGGACTTGGGAGCGACCGGATCATGGTGTGACTGATAGACGCCTCCCGGATGATGACGCCATGTGTTCATTCTGGCGCAGCATCTGGTCGGTACCTGTCAGTCACACTGAGGGTGACTGGATTCGGGATGTCGAACGCGCGTGCGATCCAATACCACAAATGGGGACAATTAACATCAGTCCCCAAGATGTTGCCCGTGCAGTCCGTCCGTTGCCTAACTGGAAATCTCCAGGGCCGGATGGACTGCACAATTTCTGGATTAAGTGGTTGACAAGGGCGCACGCTCGTTTAGCATCTCAATTCCAGTCTGCCGTAGAGTCAGGATCGCTCCCCAAGTTTCTAACGACAGGAGTAACCCACCTGCTCCATAAATCAGGTAGTACTGCGGAACCCAAAAATTATAGACCGATCACGTGTCTGCCGACGGTCTATAAAGTTCTTACATCCATACTGAGAAGTAAAATTAATAGTCATATTGACAAAAATAAAATCATGTCAACTGCTCAAAATGGATGTAAGAACGGATCCCGCGGTACTAAGGAGCTACTCCTCATTGATATGGCCATCAGCCAACAGGTTCGACGTTCCCGAAAGGATCTGTCGACATGTTGGATAGATTATAAGAAGGCCTATGACTCTATTCCTCATACATGGCTCATGAGGGTGTTGGAATTGTATAAAATTGATACAATACTACGCACCTTCCTGATGTCCTGTATGAGGCAATGGAGTACGGTCCTTCGCTATCCGGGATGTCGACATACCCAAAGGAACAGCGAACCTGTAAGGATCGAGCGTGGTATATTCCAGGGTGATAGTTTGAGTCCGCTTTGGTTCTGCCTAGCCTTGAATCCTCTAAGCACACTCTTAGAGAATTCAGGCCTAGGCTACCGGTTGAAGAGAGGTGGTCAGGTTATATCTCACCTCCTTTACATGGATGACTTGAAGCTTTTTGCCCCCAACAAACTGCAACTGATGGAGCTACTCAAGCTAACTGAAACTTTCAGTAGTGCCATCAGGATGGAGTTTGGTGTGGACAAATGTGCGATCATGCATGTAAAACGAGGGGAGGTTGTGGAATCTGTGGGAACTCAACTCACGGATTCCATAAACCTGAGGTCCCTCTCTCCAACAGAAACCTATAAGTATTTGGGTATGTCGGAAGCTTTAGGCATCAATGTCACTGACATGAAGCAATCGCTGAAGGAGCGTTTCTTTGGTCGCCTGAAGAAGGTATTTAATAGCTTTCTTTCAGGTGGAAACAAAGTGCGCGCCTTCAACGGTTGGGTCATGCCGGTATTGATGTACTCTTTCGGCGTACTCAAATGGTCTCAAACTGAACTGGACGCCCTGGATAGGCAAGTCCGAACAATGCTGACTGCATACCGAATGCATCATCCGCGGTCGTCGGTGATGAGACTGTATATCCCGCGGAAGTGTGGGGGTCGAGGCTTTTTAAATGCCAAGACCCTACACAACCGCGAGGTATGTAGTCTCAGGGAATATTTCCTAGCTGCCGACGTGGATATGCATCGAGATGTAGTGGCAGTGGACAAAGGTCTCACCCCGCTCTCCCTGGCTATCGAGAACTGGCGCAAACCCGTCGTACTTGACACTAACGCTCGCAGGGAAGTATGGCAGAGCAAGGAGCTTCATGGACGCTTTTTCCGAGCCCTACATGGACCGGATGTAGACCAGGTGGCGTCCGTAGCCTGGCTGCGTTTTGGTGACCTCTTTGGGGAAACCGAAGGGTTTGTCTGTGCAATTATGGACGAAGTTATCATGACGAATAACTACCGGAGATTTATTGTGAAGGACGGCACGGTTGACATCTGTCGGGCATGTCACCGTCCGGGAGAATCAATTCGTCACATAATCTCTGGCTGTTCTCGTCTAGCTAACGGCGAGTACTTGCATAGGCACAACCTTGTAGCCAGGATCATACATCAACAGCTTGCTCTGAAATACTCTCTTGTGGAATCGGAAGTGCCGTACTACAGGTATGAGCCCGACCCAGTCCTTGATAATGGTCATATCACCTTGTACTGGGACCGGTCTATCATCACTGACAGGACTATTGTGGCCAATAAGCCTGATATTGTGGTGGTGGACCGGAAGGAGAGGCGTGCAATGATTGTTGACATAGCCGTCCCACATGACGAGAACCTTGTGAAAGCCGAGAAAGATAAACTGATCAAGTATATCGACTTGGCTCGCGAGGTTGTCGACATGTGGGAAGTGGATTCAGCTATCATTGTACCGATAGTCGTGTCAGCCAATGGCTTAATAGCCAAGAGCCTCGACCAACATCTTAGGAGGCTCTCGTTAGGTGGCTGGATCAAGGGCTTGATTCAGAAAGTGGTACTCCTGGACACGGCTCGTATTGTCAGGAGGTTCCTTTCTCTGGAGCCCTGACCGCCGGTAGCTTGGACCCAGTTCCCGATACCGGTGGGACACTATTTTTTATATTTTTAAATGTTTTTTATTATTTATTTTTAAGAAATATTTAAAAATGTAATTTATATGTTTATATGCTAAATAAAAAATAAAAAGAAATTAAGAGAATAATTAAGTTGTGATGCGTGACGCGTGTAAAGCGGCGTAAGGTACGTCGCTTTTCGAGGATACTCGACCATTTTCAAGTCACATCAGGGTCCTAATGAACAGAATGCGCCCATGACTGAGGCAAAGAGAGTTGTGTAGCTTACTCGTCTGGGAGAGTGGTGGGAGAGGGTTGGTACTTACTAACCTGTTGGGCTCAAGATTGTGAGTCAACCATAAAATCTTTTTTTTTAAGTAGTAACTATCGTGATGCATACTCAAATTAAAAATAACGCCTTACGTGATTTAACTGAAATACTGATTGAACTAAATACATAGACATTGTATGAACAATACTAAACTTGGATTGTTAGGCTTTATAAAAACAAACTGTTTCTTTTGTTTTAGTATTAATGACCATAGACCATTATTATTTGAAACAGTAAACTACTTTTATGGTATTTTATTATTGTACAATCTATCTTGATGGAAGACTAAGGAATGAGTCATGTAGGAGTTTAACACATTCAGTGCCCCCGACGCGTATGTGCGTGCGAGGAAACGCACATACGCGTCGGGGGCACTGAATGTGTTAACAACACACAGTGGATTATACAAGATTAACTTTTGAGACTAATTAACACATTTTAATCTTATTGATAACTGAGGTAATTGCCACAAAGTTATGTAATAAAACATAACAGCTCTAAAAGCAAAAATCAAGGTCACACAAATTTCAGATTAGCATTAGCACATTTTAAATTGTTTTGTGACTAACACTGGTATTTTCCTATATTTCTATGTATTTAATAATTATTTTTACCAAAAAGAAATACCTAGTGCCATTAGCACCAATCAGCACTTAGTAAACATCAAGCTGGTAAGAAGCAAAATTTAACTTGCATATAATTGACTGTTTAATATCTAGCACAGATCACTGCAGTTCCTGACTAATGTAAGTAAGTAATATTTTTTCCTATACATATAGTACCTAATTTAATTGCCATAATGTAGCAATAAGCTAAGAGCTTTAAGACATTATTCATTATTATTAACATAATAAATGAGTTTATTAATTAAAAATAATTCATTTTCAGCCAGTATCGGTACTACTATCATCGCCAGAACTTGCACTCTCTGTCTCTGATGAACTACTATTTCTTTTCACTTTCCTACCAATATTTTTAGGATTTTCTTCACTGGCAACAGTGGGCTCTTTGTTATTGTTACTCTCATCACTAGCCAGATCCTTTTTCTTTGATTTTTTTCCAGTATCACTAGTGGTAGGTTTTAAGGTTTCCGTGGAGACGGTTGCTACCATCTTGGATTCTGTTCTGGTCTCTGAAGGTTTGAAGTCTTCATCATCATCGTCATCAGCTGGTCTTCTGTTGGCTATTGAAGCTGCCACTGCAGTTTTATATGCTTCTGGATATTGTGTACTGAAATTGTGAACAAAAATAACTGATGATAATGATAAATAATTGGGTAGTTTCTTCAGATCTCTAATATGCAGAATTATGGGGAATGATAATGCCAGAAATTAATAGAAAATGAATCAAGTGTTTTATTGTGATTTTGTGATAAGAATTGAACTTTGATTAATAGAAAATTAGCCTGTTTAATGTTTGATCATTAGTAAGTTAATAAAACAATTTGTAGCTGTTGTAACCCTCAAAAACTACAAACATTACAACTGGAATTTGCTTTAAGCTTTTCCTTGCATTTTTTAATATAAAAACTTGATAAATCACATATTAAGGCTGTGTAAAGAGATAAAATCTCTACAGAATCTATTTTATTTGTTGACAGAAAATACTGACCTCAATTTAGTTTTAATAGCTCTGATCTTCTTGAATATAAACTCTAGATCCTTCCTCATCTCGAGAAGTAGCTGTGTATGCTTCTTGAACTCGGTGGAGGCTGCTCGGAGGCGGCTGGCAGACAGCTGGTTGCAATTTGTTAGCATTTCTGTTGTCTTCTCAAAACGCTGTAACCTGAAATAAAAAAATATTAGAAATATAACTTTACAAAGGTCTCTATAAGGTATATCCAGCAACTAGTCTTAAAAATTGCTTTTCAATGACATTTGCATTAGATAGGTACATTATATTCTGAAATAACACATTATATTCCTTTTTATCCTAAAAACGGGAACGAAGCCACTGGGAGCAGTAAGTTACCGGAAATTGTAGTTTATAAACTATTATTTCTAGTGAATTCAGACAAAGATAGACTGCCTTTCTCTACATTTTGAAATAAACACAAATTCTATGTTCCTTTTTCAAACTTACATATTTTTCTGAGCCCTAATTACTGTTTCGACGTCGTTTTGGTTCACCATTCCTGCCAAACCTTGTACAAACACCTCCGGAGCCGAGTAGTTTTGAAAGCATTCTATAGAGAAATCACTTTCAGGTGTGTCGTTTGCCATTTTATTGCAGTTTTGTTATTATTTTCTTACACGAAATCAAAAAGTAAATAAAAATCGATAGAGATTGAAGTATTGAACGACGCCGTTGTCACTTGTCATTACTTTGACAAATGACAAAATTGCGTTGACATTGACATAAAACATTGAATTTAGGCCAAAATGCTTTTGGGTTTACTTAATTCGGTGTATCATAGAATTTTATTATACAGTAATTGGTTTTTCATTAACATTTTACAAGAACAAAGTTAATAATATCCAAGGATCTGTGCCTGTATGTAGGACTGTTACGATAACGGCTCAATAAGATTGAAAGCAATGGTTATTTGGTTCAGTAGCGCCCGCTTCTGGGTGAAACAAGAACAACGGGTGGGTGAAAAATGTTGTGATACAAGATTGATACTGATAGATGGCAACACATGACACACAAGAGGCTGAATTGAATCTTGTTCTGTTTTACCTTACTTTTCATCCTCAACTGCGTTCAAAAGTAGAGAAATTTTGGTCGTCTTCAGGGCTTGCCATAATCGCAACATCTAATAAGGGGATTGGAGTTTAGAGTTTGGAGATTGCAGTTTGAATTTGGCAGTGTCAAAAATGTTGTCCGGTTTTGGGTGGAACGAAAAGGAGCGTGAGACTCTTACTGACAAAAAATCTAATCTGAACATTCTCTTGTTCCAAAGCGGGCCAGTAACCGATTTTTTTTATTTAGGTGATGAGCACAATGTACTAAACTACCACAAATAATAAGTACTAAACTTTTTGAACCATCACCATAATTCTGTAACGTAGAGAAGGTTTATATCTTATATATATCTTCCCTTCGTCTTAATGTAAGCAATCACTGTACGTATTGGAAGATCACTGATCGTACTTATCAGTCTATAGCCTAATATCTAAAAGCGATTTCGGATTTTCTCGATTAATTTAGTTTAAAATGATTTTCTTCTTTTTTGTTTTGTATGTATATAAAATATAGATACAATCAAGTAAACAAAAACTAAAATAATAATTACATAGAATATAAGATCGCATGAAGTCGCCGGGTTGCATGCCGACCCTGGCTGGCATCCTCACGGCTGATATGGGTTTGTCTAGTACGTTCACGTTGTAAGGGACACAAATAAAACTCACAGACTCAATTTTTTTTATACTTGCACTGTATTTTAAGGAGCATTAGGACTAACTTGGCCTAAACCCTGAACTTCTAGGTGAAATGGAATACCTAATTGTTGATCAAAGTTCCGCCGGAATTTATTATTTCTTTGTCTTTGTTTTCGTTCCCATTCTCTTCGTTTCTGTTGTTTGGTTTTAGGAAAAAATGATTTTAGCAACTGAACAACATCGGTTTTTTTCACATCATTTTTCGACAAGATTTCTTGAAGCAACCATCTAGGTACATACAGATTGTTATTGTCTTCGTTATGTGGCAAAATTTTAGGACTATCTGTTTTATCTGACTTCAAACTCTTCTCAACATTTTTTCTGACTGTGTTAACATAGTCGTCGAACTCAGCGTTTCGGCCCTCATGGTTTTCCGATAGTAATTCCTTGATCTGTGTAGCTACATCGTCCCCATCGTCTATTCGAGTTAAATCAAACACCACCGCTTCTACATTCGGTCGTTTATTATTCGCTTTTATATTTAGAAGATTTTCTAAATCACTAGTTTCGGGCAACGCTGGTCCATTTGTTGCTGCTGATGGTTGACCCAGTGCTGGTGAGGCCGTTTTTGATAGCAAATGTTTGACGTCCGACAGTCCTAGGACTATAGCTTCTAAATCGTCACTTAGTTTAATTCTTTTCGTTAAAACCTTCGAATCCAGTTGAATACCGTCGGCTGCTCCATCATAGATTAAATCTTCACTTTCGTCTCGTACCAGTTTCTGGTCTTCAGGTGGACAGTTCTTGCCGACGCAATGTAGACTATCCCTATTATTATCGTTTCGACTGCTCCTGTCCTTTCCGCATCTGTTTCCTGCGCAGCGTATTTCACTTACGAAGTTGCTATCGTCAGCAATGGTTTTCTGTAAATCGTTCAAGAAAGCTCCGATGTCATCATTATTGTCATAGTTCTCTCTTGCTTTGTACACTTTAAAATTTCTGGAATCAAGTGGTAGTAACTGACTTAGCACGTCGTTTGCATTAGATTTGTACTGAAATTTATCACCATTATTTTGAAGAGCCTTGTTAAGACCTTGTAAGCTGTTATCGGGCCGGCGGTTGTAGTCAGCGTCTTCGGTGGATTCGTACCGTGTAGCGTAATGTTTTTCTTGTTTGTTATCATTATAACGAGGTTTGTTGCCTCTGTATTGTAATATGCGAGCTCTGTCTTCGTGATGACTCTTAGGTCCATCTTCATGATGACTTAATGCAACATTGTATTTACCTTGATTATTCAACAGCTGCAATATTTTCTGAAGATCAAATTCACCTTCATCATGAGCTTGTGCCGGTCTTCCGTTTACAATGGCGATTATTAAAAATATATTGAAGTATGGGATCTTAGCAGCCATTTTTGTTCAATTATACTTTTCGAACATAATAATAATATTTTCTATTGAAGTTTTTAATTTCTAAATGGGTTTCGGAAGCTAGTTAAAGGTTACGGTAGAGGCGAGTAATTGAGCGTGAGATTAAAAACTTCTTTAAATATTGCGTGTCTGTGTGCGTTTTTATTAACTAGATTTGTTACGAAATTTGTTTCGTTCGTTTTGTTTTAAAATTGTATCATAATATTATAAATATCATAATATTATTTTGAAACTGTTTAAGTTTTTCAACATAACGGACATAATATTTTTATATAACAATCCAGATAAGTCATCCCCTTCCAGTTACGTTGGCAGTATGGCACATTTTATATTGCTTTTATTCTAGGTACATGGTCATTAGTGGAGAATCCTCTTTCTGGGATTTAAATATTCACCGTATGCTCCATGTGCTTTTGATTTGGATCTTCGAGTAAGGTCAAGAATTTATGGGATTTCACACTTTCAAATTTCATTCATTGAAAATGACAATACTTTGTGCATGCAAACCCTGGTCATGTAACCAGTACAGTATAGGTGTACAAAACTTAATTAAAACACAAAAATAATTTAATTTGATACAATAAGTACGTATATTGAATTTGCTACCTATTGTTAAACACTTGATAAGGTTTTCAAATAGCTAATCTTCTAACAAATACGGTGGTTTCCAACTAGTCAAATTCAATACTTTTATTCAAATATGAAAAACGATAATTTTCTATGAGTTTTGTATGAAATAGTCATCGATCACTAATATATTATATTTATTTATTTGGAAATAGTATATTTACTTGTTTCGAGTTAACAATAATAATAAGAATAATTTGCATTAAGAATAATTTAATAGATATTACCTAAGTATATTATGGTAAAATTAATGAATGAAGGTATAATTCTTTTTCAGTATGTACGTTGGGCGTAATTATATATTTTTATGATTGTATACGTTGAAATAATTTAGTTTTGGCCCAGGGAACTAGCCAATTCTTTTTGAGGCAAAAAACGATTATGTAATTGGGTAGAATTATGAAAATAAATTCTTACTTTGTGCAATCTATCCGATATTTTATTAGATTCAAGTGTAGGAGAGCCATGCTTCGCCACGAATGGGTCGGCTCGATCAGAATGATATTACAGCCTCACAAAAAAAAACAGCGTTAGGGGTTATCGAAGGTCAATTCTTCCCCTCCCCAAAATTCCTCCCCAATCCCTAAATTTCCGAAACCCTAATACCCATAACACATCGCACTCGTAACTCCTCTGGTCTGGAGGTGTCCAGGGCCGGCGCCGATTGCTCACCATCAGGTAAGCCGTCTGCTAACTACACTTCCTATCACATAAAGTCCACCTATTGCCATCCTATCGCATAGAAAAGATACACAGCAAAAGACGTCCGCTGCCTTGGGCTTCACCTCGTGTGTGACATCCAGATTCGGTGGGAAGTGAATTTCATCCAGTTGTGGTCTGCAAACTTATTTAGGCTGTTTAACCTCCTTTTCGAAAGCAGTCATGAGTTGCTTTTGCCTGTTCTTAAAATTAAATGTAGCATTAAATATGATTACGTAGCATATTCACGTGGCTGTTTTAACTTATCATTTATTATACATTTCTTATTTCGATTTTTATTGTTAGGAGTTGAGTTGAAACTTAAGTTATTTTATTTTCTAGGGTCTGTTTACTTAAATACCTATCTTCTTTTATCCAGATTGTCTTGTCGATACGTGATCCAGCGAATTCGCGTCTAAATTATGTCATTAGGATCAATAAATTTCTCATATTCAGAAATCTTACTGTCAACCCTAATTAACAACTTAATCACTTCGTCGATATCATTGTGCACATTTTGTTTTTCTGTCCTCGTGAATTTCTTGGGACCGTAGAAAACTCCTTTACATTTATTTCCCTCTTGGTTTGTGTCAGTAAACTTTTTCTTTCTTTCTTTTCGTTTTTTCTTTTTCTCTTCGTCCTTCGGAGTGCTAAATTTACCTGGTACTTTTCGACATTCGTACCCTTTACATTTTTTGGGACAGATTCTGAGGTCTTTTTTAGGCAATAATCCATTGTTTTGGGAAAAAGCTTCGAAAGGAGTCTTGCCCTGTTTTTGCACTCCAATCAAAATATTATCTGCTTGTAGAGGAATATTTACTTCATTGTTATTATCAGCTGGTATGTTTTCCTCCTGTACAATGTAATTGTACTCTGAGATCGATTCTTGGTCGCTGTTTCTTGGGATTTTATTGTCGATGTGATTAAAGTTGAGTCCATATTTGCTTCGTTGCTTTGACAGTGTGTGTACCAATGTCTTTAATCTGTCCTCGTAGTAATCGCGGGCGCAGCTCGCTAGGGTTAACGTGGAAAGCACGTAACACAAGGTTCTAGGATCCATCACTTAGTACTTGTGTGTGTATCACTGTCCATATCTGATGTTGTGGATTCACGAAGGTAATCGAATTATCTGACTATATCATTGGGGATTGTAATTGATTGTCTACGTTGATAATTAAATGTGAGCAGATGATGTGAATTGGAAAATATTTTATACGCAATTATTGCATGTATTTGTACTGTATAAAATCATGTAGTGCTTGGCAGTCATAACCACTTGACTCTGTCCAACTTAGGATTTTATTTTTAGCGCGGTCTAGCTTTTTTTAGTAGCGTTTTTATCTTTCTCCTGGCCTTTTTAGAGTTTTGTTGGGCACTAAGCCTTAATCAGATTGGGATGAATGTCTATTTTACATAGAGCTTAATTTCTCTTTACTAATATTTTTTGTGATATAATAATCATCAAATGACTTCTCCCGCCCAGGGTGCGTTTTTGCATCACAAAACACAAGGATTCACTCCATTAATGTAAACAGGTCTCAGGTCTCTCTTCAGTAGATCAACATGAAAATTATTTTCGTTTTGTCTGAGAACTTATGCTATTCATTTTTTTACATTTAAAGTCTGGCAGAGCCGTACTTCGACAGGAATGGATCGGCTGGATCAGAGTGATACCACAGCCTTTCAGAAAACCGACGTAAAAAACCCACACCGTTGTGTTTCGCCGTATGAGTAAGGTTATCTTAGGCCCAACCCAAAACTTTAAAAAGTCGGCAACGCACTCGTTCTCCTCCGACTGTTGTTGCGACTGTTCATGGGCGGCGCTGATTGCTTACCACCAGGTAAACCGCAGGCTCGTTTGCCGTCCAATAATAAAAATATTTTTTTGCCTCTTCCCGATATTTTTTGCACTTTTTGTTCATCACTTATTTGACACATCCCAAAGGTCCATTATTAGTAGTAAAATCATCATTCTACAAGTGCTTACAGCTGATCGAAGGCCTCTTCTCCCATGGAGGAGGTCCGAGCAATAAACACCACACTTGCTTAAAGAGTATTGGTGATTACCAAGGTTCACTTAGAAAATACCTATATAAGCACAGGTTTTCTTCAGCCGAGGTTTTAGATGAAAGTGCAAAAATGCACTGTGACTGAGGCCCCGGCCTGGCAATCTAACACTTCATTTCACCCCACCCACGCTGAGAAAAGTCATTTAATGATTGCTCCCTCTAGAAAAAGGTATCATCACCATGTTTTCTTCACCGTTTGTAAGTGATGTCTGAATGAACTTAGAAAGTATATAACATCTGAAAATGTCATATTATTGGGCATACTTGTCAGGTTTAGTATCACATCCTCATACACGGGGACCGTTAGATATAAGTGTTTTGGTAAAATAATACACATTAATTGTTGTAGTAAGTAAAATAAAATGGTTTTATTGGAACTTAGGTATCTTGCAATTGCTTCAAAGAGCCAAGAGACTACCACATATGGGGTTCAACATAGCCGTACTTAATGCTTTGTCGGGGTCGCGGCTCAACGTACCGTGGTCTCGGCCTAGGGCAGCAGAAAGAAAGAGGCGCTATAACCTGGGCGAGAGAAAACATTTGGTGAATTGCCCTCCGTAGAACACATATCTTGCAGCGCAGGCGATAGATCTTAGGATATTTTTTATCAGGATGGTGTAACTTGATCTATTATTTAAGGTTTGCGTCTATTTCTGTAAGACGGTAACTCTACACTTTTTACTATTTGGATTAGGTATTTGTATTTTAATTTATGTGATATATTGCGTTTTATTTGTTGCATACTCAACATTTTTCTTCTAAAAATAATTTCACATTTCTAGGGTACATTTGTTAAAAGTAAACACACGTGTACAATTAGTTATTTGATTGTCAAGTAGGAAAGATTGAAAAAGGGTTTTCTGAATTTTCGAAATCGTATTGTTACTAATTGTATCGATTTTTCAATTTCATTAAAAAAATACATTCCAATTATTGGTTTAAATAATATAAGTACCTACCTACTTAATTTGCATATTTTTTAACGATCGACAAAAAATTTCGACAAATGGAGATTAATTGGAGTTTAACTGTTACGACGTACAATCTCGAACAAAATGTATAGCTTATAATCCTTTCTTATAATTCCAAAATTAGAAATTCTATTTAACAAGTTGGAATGTACTCAATTGAAGACTAACGGTAACGATGATGAAGACATCATAATCATAATCATCATGATAACGATGATGAAGACATCATCGTTATCATGATGATTTAATAGTACTAACGTAACGAAAATTCATTCTTGTTGGTATTTCTTACTTCACATATTTTAGGTTTCAAAAAAGTCTGATAATTCAAATTCCTCCACTTCTGTTATATTGCTTCAGAGCATATGTATAGTCATAAGTCTATCTATAAAACTATAATAATTTAGCTACATTCCTGCAACTTGTGTCAATTCTGTAGCACGTTTTACGAGTACCGAAGATATTCCTTAGCTGTGCTGTATCCGATCCTTCCCGGGACACCAAGCTTTTCATACCCAGTAACTTCATTATCAACTTTTATCAACAGCCTGATTATTTCTACAATATCATCGTGCACACTAGGTTTTCTTGTCCTCGTAATTTCCTTGCCATCATAATAATTTCCACATTCATCATCATCCTCTTCATTGTCAGGTTTAGGAGTAGTAAATCCACAAGTAGCTGGTCTGCATTTATACGCTTTGGGTTTTTTACGACCCATTCTTAAAATAGGTTTAGGCAATGTATTACCTTCGAAAGGAGTTTTCACAGTCTTTTGCATTCCCAACAACATATTGAATGCTTGTAGCGGGCTATTTACTTCATTGTTATTATCAGCTGGTATGTTTTCCTCCTGTGCAATGTTATTGTACTCTGAATTCGGTTCTTGGTCGCTGTTTCTTGGGATTTTATTGTCGATGTGTTTAAAGTTAAAACCATATTTGCTTCGTTGCTTTGACAGTGTGTGTACCAATGTCTTTAATCTGTCCTCGTAGTAATCGCGGGTGCAGCTCGCTAGGGTTAATGTGGAAAGCACGTAACACAAGGTTCTAGGATCCATCATGGAGTAGATATGCAAATATTAATGTCCAATATTCTTCATACTTGATTAAGTCTGTTACTGTAGTAATCGAATTATCTGCTTTAGCATATCATTGGGCATTTTAATTGATTGTCTGCGTTGTCAAATTTAATATTTTATCTATCTTAAACATTTGGTGGTTTCAAATTAAAAATTTAATAATTTGCGTCCATTGTCTTCAAAACTATCTCGATTCTGTTCAATTTAGAAAAATATTTTTAGTTAAGTATGCCAGAATTAATCCGACTTCTTTAACTAGAATGAACCTAAAAAAGGAGATAAATGATGTTACCGCGATAACTTGGGTTCTTTCTCGTCTATGCTTCTATCTATTGTTTTATAATATTCCGTAACCAAATGAGCTGATTACCGGATCACATAATAAAAAGCAATTAATGCCGTTTATGGACACCCGCAACTCTAAAAAAGTTACGACTAGTTACGAGTTTGTTGCCAGCCCGATGGAGATTGGGGATTAAGGTGATGGACGTCCTATAACCTCACTCACACGGCAAAACCCTAAGATCACTCTGGTCACGTTGGCCAATTTGTGATGGCTCACCCACGCACGTACAGAGTATGAGAAGAAAGTGTAAAGTAAAGCAATTAGCCATTATTGGAGCCTTAGCATATTTTGTATCGGGCACGCTATTATAGCAGCGGTAAGACCCCTCTTTGAGGACCTTCCGCCTGACGCAGGTCATTACCGGGCACGGCAGCTTCGGTAGGTTCCTGTTTCGGATCCTGCGGGAGGAAACGCCCGAGTGTCGTCATTGTGAGGACCACCTAGAGGATATGGTGGAGCATACGGTGGCCCTGCCTGGGCTGAGTACCGCCGTGTCCTCAGGGAATTGATCGGCGGCGGCGACCTCTCGCGCCCGGCCTTAGTCGAGGCCATGGTGCGGAGTGAAAGGAACTGGGTGGTGATGGGCGAGTAACCGTCGCCGCCCGACCATAACCACCCGCCCGAGCGTACGGCGCGTAGCGTTCCGCGCGCGCCTCAAAGAGCCAATAGACCACCACAGACGTTGCCTTATAGAGCTGTTGCTGGCTGTGTGTTCAGCCGGGGTTGCGGGGTAAGCGCAATGAGGCACCGCAACATCGGCCCAGAGCAGGAGAAGGAACAGGGGGGTTTTTAGTCAGTAAGAGTCTGACACTCCCTGGGCGGGAGAAGTTATTTGATGATTTTCCCCTCACAAAAAAGCATATTTTGTATTATTCGACCGGGGAAAATAACTGGCAGAACCTGTCCTTTTTCTGCGTATATTACTTACATTCGATACAATTTGTAAGGATTTTAAAGCCAAATGACCACGAGGTACACAAATGTTGGGCGCCGGTCATGGATAACCACAACACGAAGGAGTTATAAATGCATTTCCGGCATTTAGAGAGTTGCGGATTCGAGTCTTACGGGACTGGGAATTGAAGATAGGAAAAAAGCGTGGGGAGGGATTTGGCATTAGGTAACCTCACTCATAAAGAAAAAAAGCCACCGTTTTTCAAGCCGGTTTACTGTAGTACACCGGCCGAACCGGTTCATTCGTGCGGCATTATGTCACTCTCAGACTTCAATAAATAATTGAAAGTTTTTATTTGAAACATTTTAATAATTTGATGTTGTACCAGTGTTTGACTTGTGACAGAGAATATACATATATACCAAAAAACAAAAACGTATCTAGGTATAATTAGTTCTTTGTCACTGTACTATTTGGATTCTTTATTTTTTAATTCAATAAGTATTTTCTTCACCTCCTCCATAATCTTGTTTCTTTCCTTTAATATCATTTGCACGTCTTTATCTTTCAAAATAGTATTTGTTCTTAAATGCTTACCAAGAACATTTGTTAGAAGAATATCTACTTGAGGAAATAGATCTTCGTCTTTGGAATTGTTGGTATAGGAATTGTTTTCATCATCTTGTCTATCAAGATCGCCATCATCGTCTCTGTTGCGGTTGCATCTGTTTCCAGAACAACGAACAACTTTAGTCTTGTCATTTTGATCACCATCCTCATCCCTGTCCCAACTGCATCTGTCACCTATACAACGCAAACCTTCTAATCCTATTCCATCATCATCGTTATCGTTATTATCATCATCATCATCATCTCTATCTCTTGAGCATGTCTTACCACTACAACGCAAGTTATCACTATCATCACGGTCCCTATAACACAAGTTTCCGTTGCAACGTACATTATTTAATCCTAATTTAGCTATTGTGAGAGCAATCTTCCTATTAACATTGTTGTTATCATCGTCATCATTACTGTAAACATCGTCATCATCATCATCGTCGTTGCGACTACTGTCACTATCAGAATTAGAATCGATATTTCGTAATATCGATTCTGATTCTGACATGTGACTGATACTATCACATTTATTTTCAACACAACGTAACGATTCTGAAAATTGTTCTATGCATCTGTCTCTGATACAACGTAAGGTATCAATGTTATCCCTATCATCGGTGTAGAATTCACTGCATCTAACCCCGGCGCAACGGAGTATATCGGCTTCATATGCATCGTCATTGATATGAAGTCCTTTACTACCGCAGCTTGGACCAATGCAGGGCTGAATATTTGTATTTTCGCCAGCACCGCCATATTTGTTGTTTTCGTCATCGTCGTTATCATTCAAAGCGTCGGTTCCTCTATTACATCTATCTCCCACACACCGGAGATATTGGTTATCATTTACGTCGTAGATTTTATAAGTTTTGTCTCCGTCATGTTTATTATTGTTAACTAAATCTAGTTGCTCATCAAGTGCATTTAGATATTCCACGATCCTTTCTGAGGTGTCTCTGTGCGTTCTTGTATTAGTGTTTTTTTGGGAAGGCCATTTTAATTCTATGCATTTTCCAAGTTTTTTCATACAGTTTTTCTCTGAATCTTTACTATCGTTCTCTTTATCGGTTCTTCCAAGTTTTTTGAGAAGATGGTAGTAGCCTTGCATCTCACCAAGTGATTGCTTATTGTAATTTAAATCTCGATTCGTATCCCTAAGGCGGTTTTTCTCATTGTTATTATAATATCGTCCTTTTGTTGGAGCCTGATAACTTATTCGTGCAACGTCTTCATGGTGTTTTCCTGGCCGGTCTTCGTGGTGACTGATCTTAAAGTCATAGTTACCTTGTTCGTACAGTTTTTCTACCAAATCTTTCATGTTATACTGGGGTTCAATTTCAGTCAAATCTTCTCTGTACGCGGGGCTGCCATTTGCAAAAATCACTAAATTGATAATAACAAAGTATGAGATTTTAGATGCCATTGCTCAGACGTCGCCTGTTACCATGCTGTTTCTTACAGCAAAGTATAATGACAACAGCTTTTTTCTGTCGTTTGGTTAGAGAGCAAGATAATTGATTAATGAACTGGTTTAAATTGATTAATAAAGCATAACATTGTTAATTGAACTGTAATGTTATCCAAACATTTTAATTATTAATCTAGTCCTATTTGTTACGTCGTTTTTTCTGACATACAAAACCACAATATCTCGCACGATTTCTTCTACTGCTTAGCTTATTTAAACAAACTCCTTCAGCTATATAATACATGACATGTAAGGAAGAAGGTGCTTCCTACATCTTCTATACTTATAATAAATCTAAATTAAAATTAAATTACTAAATTTAAATATATTTTCAAAATAACTACCAAGAGCTTAATCATGCTATAAATGAATCTAATATATCACTGAATCATGCTATAAGGATTATTATTGTGTTATTGTTTTATGAAATATTTGTTATACTTAGTTATTGCTTAGATCCGTACCATCTATGGACGGTCGGACAGCGGAGACTTAGTAAGTTATAGGGTAAATACCCTATTGACCGGAGACTTAGTAAGTAATACCCATTGGAGATGTACTCATAAAAATGAGACAATTAATAACAAATTTTATGAAACCTTGATTTTGTTCTATTGCTATTGGCTGCTTTTTATCAAACAGTACGCGGTCAAAGCCGCTGGCGGAAGCTAGTACATAATATACGTACATTGATAAGTGCGTTTAGGCTCATAAGCTCCCACTGTTGCAGAGTCTTTACTCAAAAAACATGTTGTAGCTTGCGATTCAGGGTTTTCCTTCGAGCACATAGATAACAAAGAAATTGTTAAAATCTTTAATACTTTGAATAACAAAAAGACTGCAGATCTATGGGGTTATTCTGGGTGTAGCGGCACTATCACGTCGCTACATTACTTAGATACGATAGAGATAAGACATACATGTTAATTGTTGCACGTTTGTTAGGATAGCTAAATCTGAAAATCTCACGCATCTTCTTAGTATATAAGCACCAGCAATTAAAGTAATAAACAGACCTTAACCATCTACAGTCTCATTATTTACCTTGCCACGAAGTCTGGCAAATTGGTGACCCGACGAAGAACAATCAACATGACTCATTCACCCTGCAAATCAAGCAGCAGCCAACAAGAAGCCTTGGAGATATCAGCCGGAATTTTGGAGGGACCAACCCAGATTATGGTTTAAGCAACTAGAAGCCATAGTAGCACCACAGAAGCAAGGAGACGATTACAAGTACTATACGGCCATTGCAAAACTGCCAAAAGAAGAAATAATACAGGTTAGTGACCTCATTACTTGCCCACCGCCAATAGAAAAGTACAAGGCTATCAAAGAACGCCTAATCAGTTGCTATGAGGAATCAGACCAACGTCAGCTCCAAAAATTATTGTCTGAAATGGATCTCGGCGACCAGAAACCATCACATCTTCTGCGCAAGATGCGGACCCTGAGTAACGGAAATATCAGCGACGAAACCATCAAACTTCTATGGTTGAGGCTTCTGCCACCATCAGTGACTTCGGTTCTAGCAGTCACAGAAGACATAGATGTGAACAAGATGAGCCAGATCGCGGACAAGATATTAATAAATTCAACACGTACAGAGGTGTCAGCTGTAAACGGAAACAAATCTGGCGACGATACAATGTCATGCATACTAGCACAGTTAGCAGAAATGCAATTGGAACTAAATGCAATTCAGCAAGGTCAAAAAAACTATCGACGCAGCACTCAAAGTTATTCCAATCGTCGGCATTTCCTACCACAGTCAAGTTCAAGAGAAAGAAGGCACTTTTGTTTTTACCATGGAAGATTTAAAAAATATGCACAAAAGTGTGTTCAACCTTGTGATTGGAAACAGGATCTCAACTCAAGGAAACAGGGAAACTAATTGAAAGCACGGACAACGGCGGAACTCTGGGCTATTCACCCGTCCAACCGCCTCACTATTACCGACCGAAAAAGTGGTATGAGATTTTTGATTGACACGGGAGCAAATATTTCAGTTATTAGCAAGCCACAGAGACATTCACTAATACAAGATGAACAATGTATACTTTATGCCGCCAATGGTACAAAAATTAAGACATGGTGAAAAAACACTCTCTTTAAACTTCGGGCTACGAAGAAACTTTGTATGGAACTTTGTCATCGCCGATGTAACACAACCGATTATTGGAGCAGATTTTTTAGAGCATTATAAGCTATTAGTCGATATAGCTGGTCGAAAACTCATAGATAGGGTAACTGAGCTGACAACGCCCGCAACCCTGATCAAATCGACGCAGCAAACAATCCGCACTATTAACATTGAGACGAATCCACGCATTACTCAACTATTAAATGAATACGAGGATATTACGAAACCAGCCTCCCTCCACACTACTCCAAAACACAAGATTAAGCATCATATTATCACTAAAGGACCACCGGTATCAGCACGTGCAAGACCGATTAAAACCTGCATTTGTCTTCAATAGTGGAACGAACGTGCCAAATTCAGAAAATAATCACAACGGGCGGAACACGTACATCACGAAGTCAGGACGGGCGGTTAAGCCGACAGTACGATTCGTCACTTGCTGACACAAGTAAAAGTGGATAGTTCATCGACTGCCGCCGCCGTCACAACAAAGGCAGCAGTTTTTATTTCTTTCGAATTAGCAACAATGACATTACATTACGCATAGGATGTAATTTATCAGCAAGGTTAAGTTATTATATAATTAGGTACATACTAATTTTTTTTTCAATTTATATGTTAATTATTTTTAAAAGGGGGGAGTATATGTAGCGGCACTATCACGTCGCTACATTACTTAGATACGATAGAGATAAGACATACATGTTAATTGTTGCACGTTTGTTAGGATAGCTAAATCTGAAAATCTCACGCATCTTCTTAGTATATAAGCACCAGCAATTAAAGTAATAAACAGACCTTAACCATCTACAGTCTCATTATTTACCTTGCCACGAAGTCTGGCAAACTGGGTATATTACAAACTCTGTAATAACTATTGTAGCACCTGTATTGGCTCAAATCTTAAATAACTGTATTGACTGTGGTGTGTTTCCTGACCTTATGAAATGTAGTAAAATAATTCCATTATTTAAATCAGGTAGTACTTCTGACCCCACTGACTTTAGACCGATTTCAGTGCTACCTACGTTCAGTAAAATTTTTTTAAAAAATATTTTAGATCAAATGCAAAGATTTTTTAATAGAAATAAATTATTACATGCGAAACAGTTCGGATTTACAAGGGGTCGTTCAACAACTGATGCCTGTGTTGAACTTCTTAATCACATTTACGACGCGTGGGAGGACTCAAGCGACGCTTTGGGAATATTTTGTGACTTATCCAAGGCGTTCGATTGTGTGCTTCATGGTACACTGATCAGGAAGCTATCCCATTACGGAATAAGAGGTGCATCTCTGGACCTTCTTACCTCATACCTGAGTAATAGGGTTCAGAGAGTTGAAGTAAACGGAGTGGTTTCTGCCGGATCTGTGTGTGAGGATGGGTGTTCCGCAGGGTTCTATTCTCGGCCCGTTTTTATTTCTTATCTATATTAATGACTTGCCTTACCTTGTAAGGGATAGACACGAGATAGTGCTGTTTGCTGATGATACCTCACTATTATTCAAACTCAGACGACGACAATTAGTTATTGACAATGTAAACAGTGCTCTCTCAGAAATAGTTCACTGGTTTGGTGTTAATAACTTATTACTAAACGAAACTAAAACTAAATGTATTAAATTCACAACACCAAATGTTAAACAGGTAAAAACCAGTGTGCTTGTCAAGGGCGAGGAGTTGAGTCCTGTAGATACAACTGTCTTTTTAGGTATAACCCTGGACGCTAAGCTCCAGTGGGGCCCACATATAGATGGCTTGTCGAAGAAGCTCAGTTCTGCAGATTATGCCGTTAAAAAAATTAGAAATTTAACAGGTGTAGATACAGCGCGGTTAGTTTATTTTAGTTATTTCCACAGCATCATGTCATACGGTATTTTGTTGTGGGGGAATGCTGCTGACATTCAGTCTATTTTTGTTCTGCAGAAAAGGGCTATTCGATCAATCTATAATCTTAGTCCGAGGCATTCGCTCAGAGAATTATTTAAGGAAACTAAGATAATGACGGTTGCCTCACAATACATTTATGAAAATGTAATTCACGCTCATAAAAACATAAGCTTATTTAAGAAGCATAGTGATATACATAATATTAACACGAGGGGGAAAAACAAATATGTTGTCCCCGCCTCCAGGCTTCAGAAAATAAGTAGTTCGTTTAGATGTCAATGTATACGCTTTTACAATAAAATTCCTAGGGATATTCAAAATTTGAGCCTCAATAATTTTAAAAGTGTAATAAAGGCTAAACTTTACTGTAAAGCATTTTATAAAATAAAAGACTACTTAGAAGATAGTCAGGCTTGGGAATGAGCCGCTGTAACTTCTGCACAGGTCATGTTGACATGTTTGTAACATAAGTTACGTTTTTTATATACAATTTGACATTACGTTTATTATTAATTTTTTTTTTATTTAACAATGACATTATCACCTGTTGTGACATTTTTATTTTTATTTGACATTTTTTATTTTATTTATTATTTTTATAATTATTTATTGACATTATTATTATTTTGTTAGTGTAAGGACCGTGTGAGACTTGCCGCACTTTTGGACTACCAGTTATCTGCGTTCTGACAGTTTGAGTACTTGCGCGACCCAAACAAATGTTCTTTAGATCGGTATTGTTCGTCGGACAACTCAGCAGCACTTGCTATGCTGGTTGCAAACTGACACTTGCGTGCCTGTCTTCAGAACGGGTCCACTTAAACTGGTGTGGTTCTTTCATCAAAAGACCACTACAGAATGAACTTGCACGGTTCTCTCACATTATGTTATTTTTACATTGTCTGGACTTGAAAAGAGACTGACCTTTGAGTTTGTTTCGGCATTTCTTCTCAGAGTAGTCAGATAGGAAATGCCGGCTTCATCTAGTTTTTTACATATAAATTGACGTGTAAAAGTGCCGTTTTATGGCCTATTTGCAAAAATAAATTCATTGTTTCATTGTTTCATAAGATTATTACCTTATCCCTTGATGAGAAAGGCATATTATTGAAAACGTGTTTTTGTTGATGACTAATTGAAATCATCGTCGTATATATTGTGATTTGTACGTCTCAAATAATACAGTTTGCCTAAGCATGGAGGTATGGTACGTTAGCGGCAAACATAATTATAGAAACATTTAATACTAGTAGATCATAGCTATCGAAAACACCGAGAGGATCTGGGAAGCCGTCTGCTTCTTCTGCGAAGCACACAAAGAATGAGGTAGATTGCGTGAGGGTCTTCCTCATACTATAGCCTCCGCAAGAGACGGGGGTCGCGCGATGATCTTTGGCCATAAGCGCGGGTTTGCAGATGGGAAGCAAGGGTAGTTTGCCGCCTAAAAAGAACCAGACCAGAACGTATTGCGCGTGCTGTTCCGCGCGTATCATAAAGAGGCAACAGACCATCCATGAGGGACGACGGAGCTCGGAGCAGGAGATGGCACAGGGCAGTTTTTAGTCAGTACTAACGACCCACCCCGGCTTTGACGGGTGCAATGCTGATACTAAATTTCTTCACTATTCAGTGGATGTCATTATACCTACATATACACCTTTATATTCAATCACTCCACTATTAAAAAAAATCTACATCAAAATCCGTTGCGTCGTTTTAAAGATTTAATCATACATAGGGATATAGGGACAGAGAAAGCGACTTTGTTTTATACTATGTAATCACAACATAGAATCTGTCTCTCTCGCCCCACTTAACGCCGGAGCACTAACAAGGCACTAAGAGAAATGTATTAAAATATCTTTTTGGCAGTCCTACTATCTTTTCATAATTCATAGCCATAATTATTAGTAAGTTACAGGACGAACAAATGTTGTCTTCCTACACTGACATCGAGCATTTAAACATATTTTTAAGTCAGTAAGTCATAAGTCATAAAAAGGGTTCAAATACAAAGGATTTGTAATTCAAAACAACATAATGTTTCGTTTATTATTTTCAAATCAAAGCATTACATTTTAGTAGTTTTCCTTAGTAACTAAAGCCCGACAAATATTTTTTGTGTTCCAATTTACTTTTTTGTCTTGCGTTTAGCATTGCAATAGATCAACTTTATGTAAGCGAAGTTGTAGGGATTCTGCGCTTTTGGAAAATAATTATTTCTGGCCATATATAGCAATTACATAGACAAGCTGAGTCAAGTCAAGCTAAGAGGCTATAAAATAATAAAAATTCTTCTGTTCAGAAATGGATGAACTCATGGTAATTGTAATCTTTATGATGGCTGTTCCGTGACATTATTGCGTGAACTTAATAAGTTAGTAGGAGGAACCTGTCAGCAATCGTTTTATTTGTTTCGCCAAGTCATAATTGTCATTACGTTTTTCTACATCATTCAGCGCAGTTCCAATGTTATAATACTTGTTATTCAGAAGATCCTCTAAATCCTTACTTCCAAGAGTCCTATCTCCACTCAACTGATTGTTACGAGAGCTGTATTTATTTAACAAATATTGTATGTCGTCAATGCCAAGAATGTATGCATCGACATTATCATTTAATTTGACACGTTTGGGCTGCCATTGCGTTTCATCATTTCTGTTGTCGTTTTCATTGTATCTAGCTATAGAACATAATTTTCCACCACACCTTGCAGTGTAATCATCTCTATCTCTGTTTTGACTGCATCGGTTTCCGTAACACCGCAGATTATCGGCCTCTTGGTCATTATCGTCTCTTATACTGCATCTATTTCCATTGCAGCGAAGCAATTCCTCAGTATTTCTTCCACATTGGTTACTATTGCAAGGCGCATCGTCTCTTGAGGTGCCACACGCATTTCCTGCACATCTCAGATTTTCTCCATCGTCGTTGTCGATACTGCATCTGTTTCCTACACATCTTACTGTTAAACTCGAGTCACCTTCTCCATCTTTGCTACATCTATCGCCTGCACATCTCAAATTTTCTCCATCGTCATTATCAATACTGCATCTGTTTCCTACACATCTTACCGTTAAACTCGAGTCACCTACATTTTCTTCATCTCTGTTACACCTATTGCCTGCACATCTCAGATTTTCTCCATCGTCGTTGTCAATGCTGCATCTGTTTCCTACACATCTTACCGTTATACTCGAGTCGCCTAAATCCTCCCCGTCTCTGCCGCACCTATCGCCTGCACATCGCAACTCGTTTTTGTCTTCGTCGTCTCTGGTGTTATCATCGTTTAAGTAATCTAAAATGCGGCTTTGAAGTTGTAGCAGATTTTTGCACTTCGATGCGTCTGTGCACCCTAATAGTCTTTGAATCAATGTGCTGCCCTCTGGTCGTTGTTGCACTTTGTCTGGCTTTGTGTGTAAATTGTAAATACTCTGGACGTTAGTGGCAGTTAATTTGTTTTCGTTACTTTCGTCTGATGCTGCGTTTGTTCGCGATTTACCAACGTGCTGAGTAATGCGAGCCTTGTCCTCATGATGACTTTTAGGACTGTCTTCGTGGTGACTGATTGCGATGTCGAATTTACCTTTCTGTTGGGCTAGTTGTTTCACCAAATTCTCGATTCCGTTTAAGTTGGAGTCAGCCGGCTTCCCGCCGGTGCAAGATATGAGGCCGATGATAAATAAGTATAAGATCGCAACCGCCATTGCTTACAGTTCGCTTGATACTGTTTTTTGTTCTACACACAGTGATAATGAAAGCAACTTCACGCTAAAGTTAAATTATAAGGAAGGATAATTGATTTCGGAACTAGTTTAAAAGATGGAACTATCGAGTTATAATTCAGCATGTGATTGGAAATTAAGGGCAAATGAAAATGATAATTAATGATGAGTTTTAGGAAATAGTAGTAGTAGCTATTGGGTGATAAGAATTTGGTATATTATGTAACTCTAAAGTAAGAATTGAACTGAAACATTAGTAGTATGAATAGCGTGTTAGATAACTTTGTCTTTTAATTTTAAATTTGGTGCACTCTCATCATCATCATAAGATTAGAAAAAAGACGACAAATGATGAACACAGGCCTCTCGCAATGACTTTTAGTACTTCAGACTTAAATTTTTTTAGAACTCCATAGAGTCTTAGTCAGTTAGGATGGCATTTCCAAACAATATGAGTTTTAGGGATTGGAAAGCGATCTGTATTAAAATTTCATTGCCTATTTTTCTATTCATTTGGTATTTTCCGGCAGTAGTGGAGACTTCCCTCAGAGTATGGTATGACAAAACTTAGTTTTGAGTGTAGATGAAAGTGTAGCAAATGGAATGTAAAGTCCTTCCATCGAAGTGATATAAGTTATAGTCTTCCGCAAATTAGATACAAGATGCTGGACCACGGGCTCAATGTCATGCTTTTGAGGTTTATATATTTTTGGTAGTAATGGTAAGTCTGATGGAGTTTCTTGCTCGTTCTTCTCCATCGGAATCTACACTTTGGAGCGAGCAAATAGTTTCACTAAGAGGATTGACCGACAGACTGACACTTTACATCTTTAAAATTTTGTGTGTCGTTTAAAAGTGCCTGTATGGATCTAATTGAAATAAATGATTTTGACTTTGACTTTGAAAAATACTTTCAACCTCTGAGTAGGGTAACAGATTTTTTTTTTTTTTATTTAAACATATATTTAAAACAAAGTCGGTTAAAAAATATATTTATAGTTGATTATTTTTACTATCTCAATCGATGTATGATGATATGCTATGGAAGAGACATGCTTCGGCACGAATAGCTCGGCGCGACCGGTGTGATACCACCGCCTTAGAGAATTCCGGCGTGAAGCAACACAGACGTTGTATTTTGCCATGTGAGTGAGGTTACTGGAGACCTTAGATCCATATTATTAAATCACTAGTAATCAACAAGAGACCCGCAATGCACTTGTAGTAACTTCTTTGGTACTAGGAGTGTCCATGGGCGGCGTCAATTGCTTACTATCAGAAAATCCTTTTGCCGACGTTGCCATATACAAAAAATACAATACACTAAAAATATATACTTAGGAATAATTTAATGAAAAAACGAGTAGTAGTTAAATAATAAGTACATTGTATTTAATTTGCATTTAAGATAAAATAATCACTAAACAAATACTAAACTCTTCACTTTATTATTCCACCAGGTCAGGATAAGCCTATTCATTTCTAGCCTTTGATAACAATTCTTTTAATACTCGAACCAAAGCATTCCCGTCATCGCGATTTTCTGCATCATAAGCGCCAGCATCAGTATTATATTTCTTGTCATTCCTATTGTTATCTTTTTCTAACTGCTCTAAATTTATACTTTCTAATAACTTCTCTGCTTCTCTTTCATTATAAGTATTAGAATTTAAATTACTCATCAGTCGCTCAAATGTGTCAGCGTCAATCATAACCGCATCAAAGTTTTCACTTATTCGAAATATTTTTGGCATCCGTTTCTTCTTATAATTACCATTAATCTTATAGACTTGATTGTTATAATACCGACCGTCTGATACGCGATCTGTACTTCTCCCATCATTTTCAACATTATTATCTAGCTGGCTTAAAACTTCTATTACATTATTGATCTGATCCTCAATTCGGCTGCTTTCGAGCAAATTTTTTGTGTCTTTACATGTCTCTACGGAATTACAATCTGTTAATGTGTCTCGTATTGGTACTAGAAGATTGATATTCGATAATGGCTTGTCTGCCTTTGTCTCTAGATTGTAAATACTTTGCACTGTAGGAGCCATTTTGTTTTCCTTGTTCCTGTCTCGTTCATATTTTTGAATCTTCTCATCTTGCGAAATGATACGTGCATTGTCTTCTTGCTGGCTCTTAGGATTATCTTCGTAGTTGCTGATTGCTTCCAACAATTCTACGATTCCGTATAAGCTGTCATCAGCCGGCTTCCCGCTGGTGTAAGATATGAGCCCGAGTAAGAACAGGTACGAAATCAGAACCGCCATTGCTGACAGTTCGCTTGATACAAAGATATTTGCGACAAATAGTGATAATGAAAGCAACTTAATAGAAAGTTTGCAATATTAGGAAGTATAATAGATTTTGAAACTAGTTTTAAAGATAGGCAGGTATAATTTAGCGTGAGATTGGAAATGAAAGGCAAATGACAGCGATATGGTTGATGAGTTTAACAAAGTTAATTAGTAAGTTTGATGTACGATAAGTCTACATGTGTTGCTATGTGAAATGTGAGAAAAATTGATTCGAAGCGGCGTTAAATTAATCTTTATGTTCATCGCTTTGTATATTGTGTATCTTATGTTCAACATAAGAATATCATACTTAATAAGAGAAAGATGGCGACTGGACAAATCAAGTAGGTACATATTTTTTTTAATATAATTGCCATGCGCTAACGAGTTTCTCCTGTGTCGTGGGTGCGTTTATTTACCATATCATACCACCACCCAGACCCGAAAAAACAGTTTCTGGATCACACAATAGTTGTTTCATGCGGGAATCAAACTAGCTACACTTTGCGCGGCAACCGGTTGCCCAGCCACCGCGCCAACCGTGCAGTCAAGTATTGGTTGGTTAGTTCTGATGATTAAACAAAATATTTTTTGTTGTGTGTGAGCAAACTTATCAAATTACTTCTCTCGCTCGAGGTGGGACGCAAGGTAGTGTCAGACTTTTACCCCCTTATTACAAAATGAACATTATCTTTAGTCTAGGTTTAAACCATTCAGTCAGGTTTCGTATGTTGAATCTTATTCTTATCATCACCATTACCACCTCAGACTAAAAGTGACCTGTGCATTCCCTTACTCCAGGCAGGGGCTTGCGTCCGCAACCCTGGCTGTAGCAAATATAATATGGTGCCGAGTAAAGACTCGGCACCATATTATATTTCATGATCATGAAAAAGTAAGAAGATTTCAGCTGAGAAACATTATTACATGTCAAAGATTAGAAGAAATATTTGTTAATAAAACTGACTTTGTATAAGTTGCTTTTTTAAAGCACTTTATGTACTGAAAAGAACTGCGTGGATTTTGGTCTTGTCCAAGTAGGGATAAGTACGGAACCCGCAGCAGTATACTTACAATACCTCGTTCAATCAAATTGTTTAGACGAAGGAAGATTGAATTTTTTGAACTATCATTATTTTACAGGGGGAATTTCAATAATGCACCACTTACTTTCAATAGTTACTAAAACAAGAGGCTGTGACATACGGACGGACAAACAGACGGATAGTTTCTTTTTTGATTAGGTTATGGAACCTTAAAAATGTATCCTATTAGGAAGGGTTTCACTCTAATGAGAATGTTTTAAAACTTATTTGATATTAAGTTACTAGCTTACTATATTTACATTCAAACTATAAAAACAGACCAATAGACTACCACAGACGGGGCCTTATAGGGCTGATGTTCAGCCGGGCTTGCGGGGCAAGTGCAATAAGGCACCGCGGCCAAAAGTTCGGCGTTTGACTAGGCGGGAGAAATGATTTTTCGGCACATAAAAAAAATAAAAATAGACACAAATAATTAAATATTTTATTTACATAACAAATCAAAATGAATTTACGCTTGTTTTTATTGGAGGAGGCTTTAGGTACCCATCGACACTCATAACTATTGGGAAAGCGTACTGTGACAATACAACTTGGTCAGCATTCCTTCTGAACCGCTTTCGGCTAGGCGGGTCTACGCGATCAAACGCTTTTAAACCTTCCATAAAATCCGACATCGTTCCACCTTCCTTGCTTTCCATTTTATCATCGTACGCAAAACCTCCATCAGATTTGCGCGTTAAGTAAGGTTTTTCTATATTTGCTTTTGGACTTTTTTGCTTGAGTACATCAATATCCTCAGGTTCATCAATATTGAGTTTTCTTCTATAGTCATCATCGGATGGTGCGTCATTGTCATTGTCGTCAACTAGAGGAACATCTCGGAAGGCAGGTGCCTGCATCATCCCTGTCAAGTCAAACCTGTCATTGTTTTCGGTAAAGCTCACGTCTGGCTTGACGCCCATCTGCCCTAGTACGGCGGGAGTCAGGAGAATAATACCAATGATATTTGCAATCTGAAAGGAGATATTTGAATTTATTAGTTTTTCTGGTCCCCTTAAAAATCGATGACGTATCTGTTTTATTGGTTAATCATCATCATCATCAGCCTATAAGTGCCCACTGCTGAGCAAAGGCCTCTTCTCACTCGGAGAAGGGTTTATTGGTTAATAGGTTTATGAAAATCTTGCTGGTAACTAATCTTTGATGGCCTTTTTATCCTGTGTATGTTTACTCATTTTTTTGTATTCCTGAAAAAATCAATTTGCTATCTGTGTCTACAATAACATCTTACCATTTCTTACGATTTTAAACCATTCTTCTTACTTCTGAACTGAAATTTTCTTCATAGACGTCCGCATATTCAATTTTATGCATCTGACTTTAATTATTTTTCGAGATTATTTCGATAGTACCTGCTAGTATTTTAGCCCAGCATAATTTTTGGGTTTAATATTTCAGAGTTTAGAGTATTTTTTAAATGAAATTTTCACATCCAGTCTGGCAAAAACTGTGTAAGATAGCAGTTTGTAAATCGAAACTGAGTTCACGAAACGACGAGAAGCAGTGTGTGAGCCTCTGCGCTAATTCACGTATTAAACGGGACAGGAATAAATCCGCAGGATAGAGTACATATGTATGTATAATCCAATAGTTATACATATGTATGTAGATGGGTGCTACATTTTAACATTCTGGTTTTTTCTGATGTGTAAGATACTATGAGTTATTTAAGATTGATTTTCACTCTTGGCATCCTTGTCCTCGTCACATATTACGTGATTTGTGTTTATAAACTGAACTTTATGTTAATAAATAAAAATCGTACATAATTAACAATCAGATTTCTTGTCTATTCTGTACTACTGATCACTGTATGAACTCTATATCGTAAAATAACGAAGGGTAAGTGTTAACAAGATTTTCGATTTACATTCCTTCATATTTTTCATTAAAATCCTTAAAATCAATAAGAAATTGGACGATGTTGTTGTTGTTAATTGATTTTCAATGCCGAACGCATTGCAAAATTGTTAATTTCTAGATGTAGGTATACTTCGGTGTATCTGGATTCTGAGCTTGCTTACATTTACAAAACATATGTAATATGTAGCGGCACTATCACGTCGCTACATTACTTAGATACGATAGAGATAAGACATACATGTAATTGTTGCACGTTTGTTAGGATAGCTAAATCTGAAAATCTCACGCATCTTCTTAGTATATAAGCACCAGCAATTAAAGTAATAAACAGACCTTAACCATCTACAGTCTCATTATTTACCTTGCCACGAAGTCTGGCAAATTGGTGACCCGACGAAGAACAATCAACATGACTCATTCACCCTGCAAATCAAGCAGCAGCCAACAAGAAGCCTTGGAGATATCAGCCGGAATTTTGGAGGGACCAACCCAGATTATGGTTTAAGCAACTAGAAGCCATAGTAGCACCACAGAAGCAAGGAGACGATTACAAGTACTATACGGCCATTGCAAAACTGCCAAAAGAAGAAATAATACAGGTTAGTGACCTCATTACTTGCCCACCGCCAATAGAAAAGTACAAGGCTATCAAAGAACGCCTAATCAGTTGCTATGAGGAATCAGACCAACGTCAGCTCCAAAAATTATTGTCTGAAATGGATCTCGGCGACCAGAAACCATCACATCTTCTGCGCAAGATGCGGACCCTGAGTAACGGAAATATCAGCGACGAAACCATCAAACTTCTATGGTTGAGGCTTCTGCCACCATCAGTGACTTCGGTTCTAGCAGTCACAGAAGACATAGATGTGAACAAGATGAGCCAGATCGCGGACAAGATATTAATAAATTCAACACGTACAGAGGTGTCAGCTGTAAACGGAAACAAATCTGGCGACGATACAATGTCATGCATACTAGCACAGTTAGCAGAAATGCAATTGGAACTAAATGCAATTCAGCAAGGTCAAAAAAACTATCGACGCAGCACTCAAAGTTATTCCAATCGTCGGCATTTCCTACCACAGTCAAGTTCAAGAGAAAGAAGGCACTTTTGTTTTTACCATGGAAGATTTAAAAAATATGCACAAAAGTGTGTTCAACCTTGTGATTGGAAACAGGATCTCAACTCAAGGAAACAGGGAAACTAATTGAAGCACGGACAACGGCGGAACTCTGTGCTATTCACCCGTCCAACCGCCTCACTATTACCGACCGAAAAAGTGGTATGAGATTTTTGATTGACACGGGAGCAAATATTTCAGTTATTAGCAAGCCACAGAGACATTCACTAATACAAGATGAACAATGTATACTTTATGCCGCCAATGGTACAAAAATTAAGACATATGGTGAAAAAACACTCTCTTTAAACTTCGGGCTACGAAGAAACTTTGTATGGAACTTTGTCATCGCCGATGTAACACAACCGATTATTGGAGCAGATTTTTTAGAGCATTATAAGCTATTAGTCGATATAGCTGGTCGAAAACTCATAGATAGGGTAACTGAGCTGACAACGCCCGCAACCCTGATCAAATCGACGCAGCAAACAATCCGCACTATTAACATTGAGACGAATCCACGCATTACTCAACTATTAAATGAATACGAGGATATTACGAAACCAGCCTCCCTCCACACTACTCCAAAACACAACAGAGGCCGAAAAAGCTTTTGATAAATGCAAGGAAAATATAATGAACGCAGTATTAACAGTTCACCCCTCTCGCACCGCCCCTTTGGCACTTATGACGGACGCCAGTTCGACCTGTGTTGGCGCAGTTCTGCAGCAGAAGTCAGGACGTAATTGGGAACCATTAGGATTCTTTTCAAAGAAATTAAGTGATACTCAACAAAAATACTCGACATCCGACAGAGAGTTGCTCGGAATATATATGGCAGTCAAACATTTTCAAAGGTTAGTCGAAGGAAGAGAATTTACTATCTTTACAGATCATCGACCTTTGACTTACGCATTTTCCCAAAAACCGTCATCTAATGATACGCCACGGCGAATACGACAACTGGATTTTATTTCACAATATTGTACCAACATTCAACATATAGAAGGACGTGACAATATTGTAGCAGACGCATTGTCACGGATAGAACAAATTGATGTGCCATCACCGATTAATTATGCTGATTTAGCAAGAAACAATCAGCACAAATGCAGTGGATAGTTCATCGACTGCCGCCGCCGTCACAACAAAGGCAGCAGTTTTTATTTCCTTCGAATTAGCAACAATGACATTACATTACGCATAGGATGTAATTTATCAGCAAGGTTAAGTTATTATATAATTAGGTACATACTAATTTTTTTCAATTTATATGTTAATTATTTTTAAAAGGGGGGAGTATATGTAGCGGCACTATCACGTCGCTACATTACTTAGATACGATAGAGATAAGACATACATGTAATTGTTGCACGTTTGTTAGGATAGCTAAATCTGAAAATCTCACGCATCTTCTTAGTATATAAGCACCAGCAATTAAAGTAATAAACAGACCTTAACCATCTACAGTCTCATTATTTACCTTGCCACGAAGTCTGGCAAATAATACATAGCACATACTGTGCATATGTTACATTTTAGGTAAGTGCTTAAACAATAAAAGTCGTATTATAAAACATACCTAACGTTTAACACTAACGCACTCAGCAGACTCGCGGTTGGCGGCAAAAAAATGCAAATGGCCGCGATTCGTGACGTCACGTAGGTGCCGTATGGCGGCAAGCGCGCGTGTGCCCGCTTGATGGCGTTTTAATTACACGACATTGGTGTTTTATTGGCGAACACTGCTGATTTCCATGCTGATCGTACACTCTGAAAAATTTAATGTAAAAGGGAAATAGTGTGGATACAAGTTGGACATTTGTAATGACAGTTTTATCTTATGTGTTGTCATTTGTTTTAAAAAACATGTAAACAGCGCCCTCTCTATTTGATAAATCATTTTCATTTAATATGTATATCAGTTTTGGTCGGTGCTAGTATGTGTTACTTTTGTGAAGAAACGAGCAGAAGGATCACTAAAGATGAGGTAAGAAATTGACGCCGCCCTTGCGCCATGGCGCGTTTTTTTTTGTGAGGGGAAAATCATCAAATGACCTCTCCCGCCCAGGGCCGGGCGAGAGGGAGTGTCAGACTCTTATTGACTAAAAATCCCCTGTTCCTTCTCCTGCTCTGTGCCGAGGTCGCGGTGCCTCATTGCGCTTACCCCGCAACCCCGGCTGAACATCAGCCCTATAGGGCCCCGTCTGTGGTGGTTAATAGGCTCTTTGAGGCGCGCGCGGAACGTTACGCGCTGTACGCTCGGGCCTGGTTCTGGTCGGGCGGCGAGCTGCCCTTACTCACCGACCGCAGACCCGCGCTTACGGTGGCCGGAGATCGTCCCTCGATCCCCGACGCCCGTAGTGTCACCAGTTGCGGCTGCTGGGGCGCGAGGAGGAGGATTGCTCCCTCACGCGGGCCGCCTCCCTCTTTGCATAACTGATTCACAGCAGGAGGAGACGGCGTCCCAGTTCCTCTCACTCCGCACCATGGCCTCGACTAAGGCCAGGCGCGAGAGGTCGCCGCCGCCGATCACTTCCCTGAGGACATGCACGGCGGTGCTCAGCCCAGGCAGGGCATACCGCCACCGTGTGCCGTATGTGGGGAATAATGAGGATAAGGTGATTAGGCGGACGAGTAAGGTGCACAACGTCATCTATACTAATATTATAAAGAGGTATGTAAGTTTGTAAGTTTGTATGTAGGGGGTAATCTTTGGAACCGCTGATCGGATTGCCAAAATTCCTTCACTTATAGATAGCTACAATGTTCCTGAGTGCTATAGGCTATAAAACATCACTCTACGATCAAATGGAGCTGAGCAGCGGGTGAAACCGCGCGGGAGTAGCTAGTGAGTCTATAAATGCCAACTTGTAGGCCATTAGCCTAATGAGAAAAAGTTAATGCTAAGCAAAGGCCTCATGTGACTCGGAAAAAGTTTGCGCATTGGTCATTTCAAACTTTTTATAAGAAATTATAAGTCAAGGTTCCTAAATAACCTTAGGAAGTACATATAACTCGCAAAAAGTCACATTGGCACTTTTTTGGTCAGGTTTCAAACCTGCGTCCTTATGCTTGAGAAGCGTCCGCCAAAATCTCCCGGCTACCACGAAATGACACTAGAATTAGGCTATTCTATCATAATTGTTTGGATAGGCAAAATCAGTTACAAAGAAAATAATAATTAGACAAAATCACAAAATTCTGAACTTATACTTGTTTACTCGTTACTCCATTAATAATAAAA